ACGGCGACCTCCTTTTCACTTTCGCAATATTTCGCTGGCTCTCTGGCCCTTGTGTCCTGAGCGCCGCTCTCAGACTAGGACTTGGGCCTGCATGTGTTGTGCAGTATCATCTGTATCAGATTTAGTGTGTGGGACAACAGACGGTCAAGAGGTGCGCAGGACTATTAGAGGTCCTGCCATGGCTGTGCCTCCCTCCCCCCGTGTAGGGGACCTCCTGACGCGCCGGAATCCCATCTTCCGGGTTCCCTTGAAGCCATCGCAGGCATTGCTGGTTCAGAATTGGATGGATGGAAACTGTGTGACCTGCCAGACGACCGCAACTAGCGGCAGCACATCTTTATCCTTTGCTCGGCTATATGCATTCGGAGCCTCTGGCAATGGCAAGAAGCATGGGGATGAGATGGAGCTTTTTCTGAGGAGAGTGCAGGAAGATCCAAAAAAGTTTGAGCACCTCATTGACCAGCTTCGGAGCATGATGGCTGCCATGTCGCCGCCCAGTTTGCGAGTAGAGTGCTCACCATTGGGAGCTTCACCACGGATTGACACCGCCAAGGTGAAGAAGTGCCAGACCCAAGCAGTGTCTTTGTGAGCTGAGGATCTGGTCACCCTGGTCCTTGTGGCTCATGCTGAGAGCGACTAGCAGGGCAGTTGGCTTCCGGCCTTGCAGCGTTGAGGGTATGTAGTTAAACCCTAGAACATCGCCATATATACTTCTTCGGAAAGCAGCCTTGCGAGAAGTACACCCTACCCCTCAGTCAGCAGGGGGCTTGATTTGCCTTGACACTGGCCCGTAGTAGCTTAAATTCTGCGGGAACACTGCTCTGCTCCTTCCCTTATACGGCCATGTGCTAACATGAGGAGGTCCATGGATGGGATCGAAATAAACCGTCTCGCCAAAGGCCTCCTCGCAGCTGCGGTGCTTTCCACCCCAGCTTGGCTCCTCGAGCTGAGTTTGTTTTGTCTCAGAACTGGAGGTTCTGCTTGCAGCACGCCTTCATGTTAGCTGTTTCATACCTGGGAATCTTGACCCTTAACCAGGTTCGGCATTGAGCAGGCGTTGCTGAGGTCTCCCTGATCTCTGCTGCGATTTTTCTCCGCAGCGCATGTGCTGTCGATTCTTGCTTGAAAGGTTGGCGAGACACTGGGACCCAACAGGGCAAAGGGTGTGTAGAGCTTAGGAAAACCCGCAGCCGCCAAACTCTAGAGGCTCATGGTCCTTCGTCTCGCACACCCAGCAAGGGCACGGCCAAGACCGGAAACTCTACTTAATATTTGTCCAGGCCAAGGAGGTAATTCTCGATTGCTTTTGTTTCCTTCATCCCGAGACTAGAAAGTTGGGGCCCTCTAAACAACGAAGAAGAAGCCTTGTCCCTCGATT